AACCAGGATCTTGATGAAGATGGAATTAACAAGGGAAGCAAAGGGAGAAAAGAGTGTTTCTGCTTCAGAAAGGATGAATCCGAGGCCCTGTCTGATAATAATGTTGAGCAATATGATCTTGTCCCATTAGATTCCCATGTGACTTTTGATTTGGATGAGCTTCTCAAGGCTTCAGCTTTTGTTTTGGGTAAGAGTGGAATAGGGATTATGTACAAAGTGGTGCTTGAAGATGGGCTTGCTTTGGCTGTGAGGAGATTGGGGGAGGGAGGTTCTCAAAGGTTTAAAGAGTTCCAAACCGAGGTAGAAGCAATAGGGAAGTTAAGACATCCAAATATTGCAACTCTGAGAGCCTATTACTGGTCTGTTGATGAGAAGCTTCTCATATATGATTATATATCCAACGGAAGCCTTGATACAGCAATTCATGGCAAGTTTTGTTAAATACAATTTTTTTCTTTTCCTTTTTTTCCACTTTGTGGCAATGACTGATCTTTTGGCTTAACCTAACACTTAGTTTTTGTTCATTTGTTTGTCTGGTTCGATTTTATATCTCCAGGGAAGGCTGGACTTCTGACATTTGCACCACTTTCTTGGTCCTAACGATTGAAGATCATGAAAGGAACCGCAAGAGGATTGGTCTATCTGCATGAATTTAGCCCCAAAAAATATGTACACGGAGACCTGAAGCCAAGTAACATACTTCTTGGACACGACATGGAACCCCACATTTCTGACTTTGGAGTTGGGCGCCTTGCAAACATTGCTGGAGGGTCGCCAACCTTGCAATCCAACCGAGTGGCTGCAGAGAAACAACATGGAAGACAAAAGAGCATCTCCACTGAAGTCAGTACCGGTGTGATGGGAAACGGTTATATGGCTCCAGAAGCACTGAAAGTTGTGAAGCCATCACAGAAATGGGATGTTTACTCATATGGAGTGATATTGTTGGAAATGATCACAGGAAAACCATCGATTGTCCAGTTGGGGAACTCAGAAATGGACCTTGTTCAGTGGATTCAGTTCTGCATTGAGGAAAAGAAGCCACTCGTGGAGGTGTTAGACCCTTACTTGGCAGAAGATGCAGATAAGGAGGAGGAGATTATTGGAGTTTTGAAGATTGCAATGGCTTGTGTCCATAGCAGCCCTGAAAAGAGACCTACGATGAGGCACGTGCTTGATGTTTTGGATAGATTGACTATTTCCTCTGATTGAGAAATTTCAGGCAGCTGTGCACTGTGAATGCAGCACATTTGTGAATCTTTTACCTTTACTCTCTTGTGTTGGTCATGTTTAACAATGTCTTCAACCTGATGAATCCTTGTAATTGGAGTACTAGAAGAGAAATTTAATTTGTTTCAGCAAAAATCATCACTTGTTCTGAGATTTCACTACCAGACACATGACGAGGTTTTTTTTTTAACCTCGTACATACGCAGACTCCGAATCTATACAAGAAAAATGAAAAATACTCAAGAACTTGTAACATTTTTAAAAGTCGCCTTATTAAGTACTCATATTATATTAATGTTTGTCCAATAGTTCGAATGTTTTCCCCTCACTTTCATATAAAAAACCAACACGTAATTAACGTCTTAGGATTCTAAAGAAATGTCTGATAAATTCTGATTCACTTGGTGTGAAAAGAACAGTATTATGGTTTTATCCTTGTCATGTGCATTGATGAGGACGCAAGAAAGAGTTGGTGTTCCCTATTCACGATCTTATCGCATCGGCCATCACCTAGAAAACATAGACATACGTGTTATCCACTTAACTGATTGGACGTTTTATTCTAAAAGCTCCCTAACAACAAATCGAACAGAAATACATAACGAATGATACAAAAGTTAGAAAGAAATAAAATTGAATATTATTGAGTAAAAGAATTTATAAAAAATATATATTTGATCAGGAGTAAAAGGATATAAAGATGAATTGAAATATTTATTAGTTTAGTAAATGTTGATAGTTTGAGTTAAAGTTTAAAATAAAGAACCAACCACTCATTTTGTTATTCTTGGTTAATAATCACTATTTGAATTAAGAATTGGGCAAATTAGTAATTGGAGTAGATGACCTACTATATTTAATCTTTATGTACTACTATAACGGTATTTAACTTATTCAGAAATTTATGTAGATTCGCCCAAAAATAATGTTAGATTTTTATTTAAGTCTCATTGTTGTTAAATATGCTCTATCATATTAATTTTGAACACCTGCATGTCACTGATGAGATCGTTATGGGTAGTTACCATTAAAATTGTTGGTGACTAACGTTGCTCCTTTGGTTACTAATAGCTTATCAGCACCCTTACAAATTAACATAAATTCAAGTTTAGTGTTACTATATATATTACTCTATAAATTCCATTTATGCTAATAAAACATTTGTATTAATAATATTCACTTAATTTATATCAATATTTACAACAATTGAAAAGAACATTAGTTTTGATGATAAAATTTTCTTTGATTTTTAACTCTGGACAGGTTGTATAGTATGTGTATGTATTTATTGGTCGACTCGTGCCTTTTTTTCTGAAACTTTGCGATTAAGCGAAAGAGAAACAAAAGACAAAAGTACCAAGCTTCGAAGTCAAATAACTCAAACTTTGCTTCATGGTTCTTTTCACAGGCAACTAGATAGCTTAAGCAGTCCAATTTCGGATAAGTAATAACATGGGTGAATGATGAGAAAAAACAGATACAACCAAATGTTTACGATTTGATTATTCTAAGATGTAAAATCAGAAATCAAAGGAGTTGATTTTACAAATATATTAGTTATGTTAAGTTGCTTCACAAATTTTAGTAAATTGTTGAATCTTTCAATTATCAATTATCATATATGCATTGTTATTTCATCATATTTTAGAAAGATTGGTTTTTCACGTTGAAAAATACGTAGTTGGGTTTGGGAAGGGAAGGCCCGATCATGTGGCGCCAATTGTGGGTGAAAGACTGAAACTCCAAACGTACGCAGAAAAATTCTTGCTTCTCATTTCTGTTTAACTGCTAATTTGTCTGTTCATCATTCTTTTGACTTTGAAGAACACACCATTTCTACCACTTTCAGTTTCACATGTTTTGGTCTGAATTTGGCTTCAAAATACAATATTAAAAGATAACTTTTGTATCAGCTTTTTGTATTCGTGACTCAAGCCATTTCCTGTTATCCAGCAGAAATAAATGAGATGAGATGAGATGAAAGAAATATGGATTTTATTTGTTTCGTAGAGTAAAGATTTGAAAAAGATTCTAAGAGAAAATACGAGGCTAGTGTATTTAGATTTCTATTCAAAATTGAAAAAAAAATTTAGCAGCATGACCATAATATCTGAAGTAAATTATTTTCTTTTAATATATATTATAATTCTCTATTTTATCTTTAATTATATTTTAAATTTTTTAAATACAAATAAATGTAAATTTAAATACTATAGATAACTAACTAATGCATACTTCAACATTGTAATCACCTATGATTTTTTTATGTAACAATAATTATTAATCTTAAAAAGATATACAAGTTTCAAAAGGCCTCCTTTTTTTTCTCTAGTGTTATTTTATACCATCAACCGATTCTTATTATCGTCGGTAGTAAAAAATATGGAAATTTATAAGTTATCACAATAATAGTTGAAAATTTGTGAAGGATTTATATTAAATAAATCAATTGCTTCGTTCTTAAGACGTGGGCTACACCGTTTTAAAGCACCAATACCTTGAAATGAAGAAAAAAATATTTCAGCTCTAATAAAAATAAAGCACATAATATGGGAAAATAAACAAAATTTAAGAAATACCTATATATTCTTACTTACAATCCGTGAAAATAGCTGATAAATTAGTCAAAGTAGAAAAAAAATAATACTAAAATAGATATGCTATCTACCACCAAAGTCATATTTAAACCACTGTCAAACATTAATAGCATGTTTGTTATGACGTTATTACGTTGTACATGATCATACGATGCCATTTCAAATATGCGCAACAGCTATCATAACAAAAATCTAAATTTTGATTCAGTCGATTACCAAAAGTTAACATTTTTAACCCATTCATAGCTTGAAAAGTAATATAACTAACTAAAACAACTTACCGATAACATTCAATATTAAAGAGAATGAGTATAAATGGAAACTCTGATGCAAGCCAATGGCAGAAAACATGTCACTGTCCAAGTGAAAGCAAGTGCAGACAGCTGTGATTTCGAAATTCTGCATAAAGTTTGAGAGAAATAAGGGATAACATGTGTCCCTGTAGTCATTGCTATTTATTCACTAGCTATTAAATATTAATTTAATACAACAACGTGGCACTGACCTAAATTATAGAGATGGACCCAAACTCACCAAAGTGAAGCCTTAAAAGTCCTTGATTGAAAGTTGGAAGTGATTATTATTATTGGTATTTCGTTCTAATGATTACAAATGAAGTAGGGTACGTTTCCATGAAGGACTTGTCCAAAATACCATGTGCACTAATTGAATCCATCAACTTTGATTACATGCCCAAACTACTTAACCAACTTTGATTAATTTAACTTCTACTGATACTACTAAGAGACACAAAATTTAGGTGAATTTAGATGATCAAGAAACAATGCCTGCATTCTTTCTCGCAATCCTCAACCTTTTTACACATTCTATAAACTCCCTGGGATGAAACAAGTGGAAGAGAAAAAGGAACAAGTTAGAACTACTGTTAAAATGACATAGAACAGAATGTGGAAATTTGGGAAGAAAAATGGGACCTACTTCCAAGGTACATCACCGACAGGTCTCCAATTATCTTGTCTGTCCTTGTAGAACAATGAGTAGTCTGATCTCGATTGGAACAATCTTAATCCAGAAACAGATTGGTTTCCTGAGTGGTACAATCAGTTAAACAAAAGTTATACCAAACATTAAAAAGATCTTGCAAGTGCATGAATAATGCATTATTGATTCTGCCTACCAAACATGTCTTCTAATTGAAGTGCTAGGCTTGAGTATCCACCGTGATCAAGCACACAGATTTTCCTACCGATGGTAACCCCATCCATGTTCACCTTCACATAAGCCCATCTCTCATTGCTCTGGACCCCCTCTATCTCTTCATCAAAATTTTCGTTCACAGATCTGCCATGCATTGTGCTTGAGTTCTTCAGGTTCAGATTAGACTGAGGCCAGTTCATAAGGTCATCATCATACACTGATACCAAATTTAATTTCATTAGCCTTTATTAATCAGTAGTAAATTATTTGTTAATGTCACAACTTGAACGTTAATTATTTGTTGATTTCATGCTAACAAAGTTGGTAACATAACAATCAGATGAATCCATATACATACAAAAATCATCACACATGACCAAACTGAACTGGTTTTTCTATGTAGTTTGATTTTTATGTAATTTAGTGTGACAATTTGAAGTCAACTAAACTATCATACAATAACAATTTTTCATAGTCTATACTGTTTACTTTTTTTGTAATTGGAAAATGTTTGAGTAAAGGGTGTATGAGAAGTTAGAAGAGATGAAGAATTAAAGGAATGAAGGAGGTGGAGAACCCGTACAGTTGCTGGAAGAATGGTAAGCTTCGTGCTGAACAGTTCCGAGACTGAGACCCAGGTCAATTATGCCATCATCTTGTTTATCTTGGTAGAAAACTGAGTGCAAAGTTGAAGAGTTCAAAAGAAAGCTTGATGTGTTTGAATCCATAGGGGACTGAAAAAGTAAAATCTTCAACGCAGGTATAGCTGGTTAAGGTCTAGTGAGTTGCATTTGTAGACATAAACTATTTATAGTGATAAATTTGAGTATCTAAATGAGACATGAAAGAACACAAGGAAGACAAGGAAGCGTCCTCCATTATCAATCATTAAATGCACAAAGCTTATCTTCTGTTACTGTCAACATGGAACACAAGGTAAAAACAAAACACCCCAAGAACAAAGGATGGCCAAATTGATCCTAATACAAGTTATTCTGGATTCTGCTTCCTGACATTGCTACAAATGCTCAGATTTTTCCATGGTGACAGTAACTCGAGAACACCAAATGGGAAATATTAAACTGATTCATGCCATCACATCAATTCATCTAAAGTAAAAAATTTGTGGATNTCTCTAGTGTTATTTTATACCATCAACCGATTCTTATTATCGTCGGTAGTAAAAAATATGGAAATTTATAAGTTATCACAATAATAGTTGAAAATTTGTGAAGGATTTATATTAAATAAATCAATTGCTTCGTTCTTAAGACGTGGGCTACACCGTTTTAAAGCACCAATACCTTGAAATGAAGAAAAAAATATTTCAGCTCTAATAAAAATAAAGCACATAATATGGGAAAATAAACAAAATTTAAGAAATACCTATATATTCTTACTTACAATCCGTGAAAATAGCTGATAAATTAGTCAAAGTAGAAAAAAAATAATACTAAAATAGATATGCTATCTACAACCAAAGTCATATTTAAACCACTGTCAAACATTAATAGCATGTTTGTTATGACGTTATTACGTTGTACATGATCATACGATGCCATTTCAAATATGCGCAACAGCTATCATAACAAAAATCTAAATTTTGATTCAGTCGATTACCAAAAGTTAACATTTTAAACCCATTCATAGCTTGAAAAGTAATATAACTAACTAAAACAACTTACCGATAACATTCAATATTAAAGAGAATGAGTATAAATGGAAACTCTGATGCAAGCCAATGGCAGAAAACATGTCACTGTCCAAGTGAAAGCAAGTACAGACAGCTGTGATTTCGAAATTCTGCATAAAGTTTGAGAGAAATAAGGGATAACATGTGTCCCTGTAGTCATTGCTATTTATTCACTAGCTATTAAATATTAATTTAATACAACAACGTGGCACTGACCTAAATTATAGAGATGGACCCAAACTCACCAAAGTGAAGCCTTAAAAGTCCTTGATTGAAAGTTGGAAGTGATTATTATTATTGGTATTTCGTTCTAATGATTACAAATGAAGTAGGGTACGTTTCCATGAAGGACTTGTCCAAAATACCATGTGCACTAATTGAATCCATCAACTTTGATTACATGCCCAAACTACTTAACCAACTTTGATAAATTTAACTTCTACTGATACTACTAAGAGACACAAAATTTAGGTGAATTTAGATGATCAAGAAACAATGCCTGCATTCTTTCTCGCAATCCTCAACCTTTTTACACATTCTATAAACTCCCTGGGATGAAACAAGTGGAAGAGAAAAAGGAACAAGTTAGAACTACTGTTAAAATGACATAGAACAGAATGTGGAAATTTGGGAAGAAAAATGGGACCTACTTCCAAGGTACATCACCGACAGGTCTCCAATTATCTTGTCTGTCCTTGTAGAACAATGAGTAGTCTGATCTCGATTGGAACAATCTTAATCCAGAAACAGATTGGTTTCCTGAGTGGTACAATCAGTTAAACAAAAGTTATACCAAACATTAAAAAGATCTTGCAAGTGCATGAATAATGCATTATTGATTCTGCCTACCAAACATGTCTTCTAATTGAAGTGCTAGGCTTGAGTATCCACCGTGATCAAGCACACAGATTTTCCTACCGATGGTAACCCCATCCATGTTCACCTTCACATAAGCCCATCTCTCATTGCTCTGGACCCCCTCTATCTCTTCATCAAAATTTTCGTTCACAGATCTGCCATGCATTGTGCTTGAGTTCTTCAGGTTCAGATTAGACTGAGGCCAGTTCATAAGGTCATCATCATACACTGATACCAAATTTAATTTCATTAGCCTTTATTAATCAGTAGTAAATTATTTGTTAATGTCACAACTTGAACGTTAATTATTTGTTGATTTCATGCTAACAAAGTTGGTAACATAACAATCAGATGAATCCATATACATACAAAAATCATCACACATGACCAAACTGAACTGGTTTTTCTATGTAGTTTGATTTTTATGTAATTTAGTGTGACAATTTGAAGTCAACTAAACTATCATACAATAACAATTTTTCATAGTCTATACTGTTTACTTTTTTTGTAATTGGAAAATGTTTGAGTAAAGGGTGTATGAGAAGTTAGAAGAGATGAAGAATTAAAGGAATGAAGGAGGTGGAGAACCCGTACAGTTGCTGGAAGAATGGTAAGCTTCGTGCTGAACAGTTCCGAGACTGAGACCCAGGTCAATTATGCCATCATCTTGTTTATCTTGGTAGAAAACTGAGTGCAAAGTTGAAGAGTTCAAAAGAAAGCTTGATGTGTTTGAATCCATAGGGGACTGAAAAAGTAAAATCTTCAACGCAGGTATAGCTGGTTAAGGTCTAGTGAGTTGCATTTGTAGACATAAACTATTTATAGTGATAAATTTGAGTATCTAAATGAGACATGAAAGAACACAAGGAAGACAAGGAAGCGTCCTCCATTATCAATCATTAAATGCACAAAGCTTATCTTCTGTTACTGTCAACATGGAACACAAGGTAAAAACAAAACACCCCAAGAACAAAGGATGGCCAAATTGATCCTAATACAAGTTATTCTGGATTCTGCTTCCTGACATTGCTACAAATGCTCAGATTTTTCCATGGTGACAGTAACTCGAGAACACCAAATGGGAAATATTAAACTGATTCATGCCATCACATCAATTCATCTAAAGTAAAAAATTTGTGGAATAATTATAAAGGAGAAGCTCATACACTATCGTGAGTTCACTTATGGTAATCTTCAAAAAGTAGCTTCAATAGTGTAAAGATCTAACAGACAGAGATGGCACGTATAATTTTAATGCATGGTTTATAACCATGAATTCTGCAGTGAAACCCTTTTCGTTATTATGTTTTACGAAAATAAAATAGAAAGAATCTAACATATAACTCATTTTTAAAAGTACCGTCATTAAAAATTTGTTTTAGGTGTCATTGTAAACGCGTAAGGGATACTAATATTTGCTCTGCACGTTTTATTGCATCATTTCACACATCGCTCCAATTCTTACATAGAAGCAATCATTATATAATATAAAATGTCCAAAAGTGGTGTATTATGTAGATGAAAACATGTTTGCAAAAATAATTAGAATGTATGTCAAATGAGCAATAATTAAACTTTAAATACTGACACTTTCTGTCGGGAAGAAATTTCAAGCCCATCTGCAGAGATTAATGGGAATCCAATATGACCTGCTAATATTAAGTTGCATGAAAGTGTAAGTTTTTATTTAAAGAAGGTATTCGAGTGGAATTGATTAATAAGGTTGGGGCATTGAATTTTTAAAATTATACAGATTTAGTCCTTAAGCTTATCTGAGCAACGTGGAGCTATAGGCATAAAGCTAACTGTCACATTTTGAATATCTGTTGAGTTATCCACATATGACAGGACTACCACTTTTCAAGGGAACAAAGATCTGGTCAGATCATAACATCCCATGCCCTTATGCTTCTGCAGGAAATGTCTTTTTCTTGTTCCTTTTCTTTTTATGAGTTATAAGTTCAGAGAACAGAATGTAGTGTTTAGTAGTGATACTAAATTAAAATAGATTAACTTTAATATTGATCTCAACAGTCAGAACTACAGAAAAGGAGTTTTTGTTCCTGTGTTCCAGGTAAGATATTACCATTTCTGAATCAAATGGTATCTGCTATTTTAATACTGACAAGAAAAATAGCTTAGCATTTCAAATGCACACTATATATGATTCAAAACCCGCACTTGGGAGATTTAATTATTAGCAAAAGGACACATTTGACACAAGTTCTTGAGTATTATAACCTCCCGCTATACCTGAAACATAGGCTTGGTTTAGGTAATGATGGGGTGTCAAGATCCTAGATAAAGGCCTGAAATTATTGGGAGTGCCGACGAGTGTGTGAAAAAAAAGTCAGACATAAATGAAAATAGATACGTTGAATTGAACACAACATAAATAGTAGGGATGTATGAAATGAATGCATTAAGATTTTGAATTGAATGTAGTGGCGGGGCAACCAGGTAACTAATATTGAAGTGCAATGAATTTGGCGTGTGTTGAAGTGTTCATCAACTTCTGGCTATCAACGCTATTGCCCCCTTAAAGATATAATCCTTGAGACCCACACTAAAAGTGTGAAATGTTTATGTAAAGATTTATAAGACCTTGGACTCTTTAAATACACCTACCAACTCTTGGAACACGATTCTCTCAAAATTCCTATTATAATAAGAAACTCTCAAGATTTCCCAAATTCTTATATTTTAACAGGTTCTTATCTTGTCTCTCATCTTATAATTTAAGTTATGTTTTCAAAAATTTCAGCTCTATCCGAAAGTTAAGAAAGGAATGCTCAAACCATCAACTAAAACAATTTAAATCAAAACAAAGCAAATAAAAAGTTATTTTTTAGACATTTAAATCAAAACTGAAGAAACTACTTTTTACCCATCTATTTGGATCAAACCACCACTTCGGTTATGTATGTCAGGGAATATTCCAGCTATAAATAACTTTGATGATATACTATCATCATGATAACATTACTTTTTTTATTATTCTACTACAGTTATTATCAAGTAAATGTGACTTCTAAACACTATAGAACTTAGGTGTTAGATTTTGTAGAATACCAATTTACTTTACTACCTACCTATCAAATTAAAAATAAACGAACTCATAAAATACTAAAAAAAAACTAATCCAAATAAAATTTGCGTTCAAATTACATTTAAATTAAATCAAAGTCAACTGCATATTAGTTTTATGTTCAATTCAAATTATTTTTCTAGTGTGTAAAAGATCAATCCATCTGCATCCAAAAAAATTAAAATAAAAATATGTATGGAGTTATAAATCATAGTTTTCCGTGACTATTGTACAAACAAAAAGGTTGTGACACTTTTAAAGTATCCGTGCAATTTGGATAGAAACTCAGATCGAAGGGCCTTATCATGCAAGCACATACACAAGTTGGTGAAACAATCGAGTGGGCAGGTTGCAGCCAGAATGTGGAGAGTCGTGTAGGAAATTATGTACATATACTTTACAACAATTCAAAGAAAACGCTGTAGAAAACAATTAGAGTCCTTGTAATTCCTATTTCTTTCTATATCCTCGATCGTATTTCCTACCTTTTGCTGTTGAGGTTTGGAAACAAAAAAAGCCGAATCCCCTTTCTCTAAAGTACAAAAAGTCTGTTATAAATTCTTTAAACTTTTCTTCTTAATTTAATGTACCTAGTATAAATAAACAAACGATTAATCTTGTCTCCGTTGTCTGTACCACGAACAACCACGTAAGCAAGTGCAGCATAAGCTCGAACTGATGTACAAAAGGAAATAAAAGAAAGGCATCTCACACCTGTTTGGATTGTAGTTATCAAGTATTATCCAAGAAGAATGTATTTGATGAAAATTGATGGTGTACATCACTTGTCGTGACAGCTAAGAAATTCAATTATACTGGGATACACCTGCTCCACTGCCTGTGCTCAAAATAATCATAGAAAAGACATCATAAAGAAAGCAGCAGTGGGCATAAGAAAATATAGACCAATTATTTATGCCAAAACAAATTCTTCATACGAATAAAACAATCGGTATTTAAATTACACGACTAAAAATGGACAAAAATTAATAATGAAGCAAACGAAAAAAATGGCAAGAGTAGATGAAAGGTGAATAAAGGTGTGAATAGAACAAAAGACAGAAAATTCGTGTAGGGCAGCCAATATGACCATCACCAATTACTCACAAAATAAACTGAGCTCGTTTTTCTTTACTTCTTGACAGTTTCCTAATCTAAAATAGCACTAATGACAACAACCAAAGGAATAAGTTCATACCAGCCTTCCTCCAACTAAATCATAATGTGCATAATGTGGGCCTCCGGGTTTTCCAAAAACTTCATAGGTAACCAAGTGCTCAGGAATTAACTTAGCGGTTTCTGTTCAAAAAATACCTTTATGAATAATCATTTCTTGAAACAACGAAAATAAAGCATCTACACCTATGGTAAAAAAATACCTTCGACAGCTTCAGGTGGGCAAATCAGATCCTGGTCTCCAGCAATAGCTAAGATAGGGGTATTGCTTTTGTGTAGATGTTCCTTATAAAAAAAGGTCCCATTCCTGTTGCATAAACCACGTTCTCGAAATGCTGTAGTGAGTTGCAAGAGAAGTTTTGCGGGTATGGTGCCTACCAGTCGTAATTGTATCAAAAGGTCAGATATTATATTCATATTAAATAGTCAACATGTAATTTTCTAATTAAAAAATATAAGTTTATGTGCACTGCAATGCCTATAATAGTGTTACTCCAGACGAGAGTCTAACCCCCTAATACCCTACCTTTATATTGCAGAACAAACAGTATCTAGAAATTACATCTGGCAGGATTGCCACTTGAATTTAATGAACCAGTGAAAACATCACTTGTTCAATCAATCATCTTTTAATAGTTTAATATCGTACTCTCTTTATCTATGTTTTCCTGGTCCAATGACCCAGTGAAAGCAGAGGAATTATTTTGCTTTTCCAACATCCTATTCATCTCAATATGCTTTAATGATCTATCTGAATATCCTCTCTGAAGATTAATGTAAAGTAATAATGCATCACATACAATTCCAAATACCTCTGAAATGGAGCCACCAGGATAATTATAACTAATGAAATAAGCATCAGAAAGAAGGGCACGTCGAACAGAGATTCTGGTAAGAGTCCAATTCAAGTGTATGACGCTTGTAATACAAATTAGAAGAACGGATTGCTCTTCCATACTTTCTTTCTAGGTCAAATTAATGGTTCAATTTTAGCATGATAGTACTAATTCAATGAAAAAGAAGTTTACTTCGCTACCCTTTAAAATATCAACTGTTAAGTCCAACAAAATTGAATTCCAGAAGATTTGTCGCTTTATACAAATTGGAAGAATGGATTGCTCTTTACACTTTCACAAGAGACATACAAAAGGCCAAGAAATCATTCAATTTCAGTAATGATAAAGCGGTTGTCCCTTTAAAATATCAACTGCTAAAAAGAATTGAACCTCAGTAATTAAAAAGAAAATAACCAATAGTTTGCATTTTAAAAATGGAGTTATGAAATAACAACCCAAATACTGACTTATCACTACTGGTTCCAAAATGAAGTTTACTATCTGAAGGGCACACTACCCAGCAGTTCAAAGAAACTACATCCCATGCTATGTCATAAAAAAGCTTATGAACAAGCCCATTTCAGTGTGCTCAAATTCAAAATGAATGGGACAAGAGTCTAATTCCTAACCATGTTCTCAAAGCAGTTCCGATTCCATTTCAAAAAAATCATCATAAAAGCTAAACTATTAGGTGTAGGAACATAAGTTGCGTAAAAAAGGTGTTGGCACAATTCATTTATATTTCTAATGGATAGAAATACTCACAGAAGTTATTCAAAACAAGTCTCTTTAATAAATTTGGATGCATCATGTCCTCAGCTGAAATCAAAGTATTTAATCGTGACAATACATACGGTGGACGAGAAGAAAGAGGATAAGCTGCTGCCAGCAATGCCCCCAAAGGAACAACAGGGACATTGAGGGCCTGGGCAGGATCTGCCTGCTCAATGAAGTGACTAAACTTAGTAACTTCAGAAATTATGGCAATTTAATCACTAAGTCTATGAAGAAAGTAACCAAAAACAACTAAACCATGCACTTACTAAGGGTAAGAGTAACTTCAGAGCTGATTTGGAAGATGTGTAATCCAAAGATGATGCCAGTGTGACCACTGCAGCCAAATTTGGGTCTTTTCCTTCAGAACCTTACATGAAATTAAAACAAATATCAAGTAAATAAGATATATATTTATTTTATACATGTCCAAGCATATGCAAATACAAATGAGTCAGCATATGTAAACACTCTGCTTGTAGATCTAAATTTACACTTCTATGCTACTAGTAAAGTGTTACCATCTATGACAATTTATTTTTTTTAGTTATCGTTAAAGTTACAAAACGAAATAATGTGTGGTGATAGCAAAATAGAAGAGTAGAAGTGATTTGGGAGTAACATAATTTTAAGAATGGCCAATCATCAGCCAGTAGATATAATGCAATAGAATCCTACTTTCATTTTAAAAAAAACATAAATTCCTTCATTTGACTTTGTTGCCGTCTCATATTCAGAAGACTAATGATGCATAACTTATATTTGATCATATGTTCAATCAATACTTGATCCTGTTGTGGTTCATCATATATTTATTGTTGCTCATTGTTTGAGACATGTTAATAGTTAATCAGGAAGGTTCAAGTTGGGCTCACAAATTGATATGGATTACAGTCAGTGACTTGATCAAAACCGAAAAAATAAAGTGCAGGCTGACGATTTTCATAGACAAAGTTGTTGCATAGCATTTTCCTCCAAAAGTGAAAGTATTGGCTTAAGACTGATTCCAATTCTTGATATCTAATGACTAATCCTAGAACAGATCAAATGCCTTCCATGTATGAGCATCATGATCACATCAGCCTTTTCCAAATCCTAATATTCCCCCAACCCTCTTTGTTAGTGATTGAAATTATAGTTTAGACCATCACAAATGTCAAACAGAGTACACACAAGAAAAGAATACAATAACAAATAAAGGCAACATGACAATGGCCAATTAATACTAATGAAGCAATAAACTCACCAAATCGTGACAACATGGAGTAAAGCAAGATACCACCCATTGAGTGTCCAATTGCAAGCAATTTTCCATCTTTAGGCATGCTTTGTTTCACTATGTATTCTATCTGTACAGGTAAAGTCATAAAAGGGATATGTAGCCAGGGTAAGTTACCTGTATGTATATAACAAGTAAAAAAAGGTACTTTTAAATGCTAATGATATATAGCTTTCCAACATAATAAGATGTCACCTTACCGCTGCAGGAACATCTTCTTCCAAGTAATTATCGAAGTCCCAATCATACTTCACAATCAAGTCAAGTTGCTTCTGAAAATCTTCTATTGTAGAAGTAAAGCGAGCTTGTAGATCATATAATGGAGGAGAAACAGATAGCTGACCTTCCTCAATAATATTTACTAGTCTTTGACTCAGATCAGTTATTTGACTAGTAATACCAGAGTTTTGCTTTGTTTCAAACAAAGTTGAAAGCTTTCCCCTTACCTCATTGAATTGTTCGTATAGTGGAGAATCCACCAGAAGTTTTGAAATCTGATCTAGAAATTTGGAAAACATTACCCTTGATTGACTTTCACTCAGAAACCCAGAGACCCTTTCTGACAAAAACATAAGAGTCTCAGTCAATCTTGCCACCAACTTTGATTCATCCCAAACAGTAGCCAGCCTAGTTAGGTCACCTTTGATGGCCACATTCTCAGTTTCTACCCCGTTTAAGACAGGAGGAATCTGAGGTTCAGACACGGTGCAAGAGATGTTATTCAATTCTTTGTTTGAAGCCATGGCTCCGTTGGTACCTGTAGCAATTTCTGAAGCAGCTTCCATCTTCTCAGACATTGCATTAGCAGATTGTTCAATATCTTTAGAATTTGAACCCTGAAGACTCAACCCAGCTCCTCGTACTTCAAGAATCCAAGTTTCAAATCCCTGCCCAGACATGTAACGTGCAAATGATGACTGCAGTACATACAATGTGTTAGTGGGAAGACTGATAAATAAAATCAGAAAAGAATGTACTACTGCCCAACTATAATTACGTAAAAAGGCATCATTAAACACTCAAAATACGGAGGAAAGCTTAATAATACAGAATCAAAAGTAGTAGCTTTGGTGCATTCTTTAAGAGAAGAGGCATTCAGAAATTTGCAATCAAATGCTACTTAAAATAATACACTACAGAACGATTTTGCTTCCTATGTTTATAAACACTGTGATCATGCTTCAATATATCTTATATTCAAATTAGGGTGAAAAAAAAAAGAGCATAATAATATATGAGCAGTTGCCTATGCAAGAACAAAAGGATGATGACAAAACACCAATACTTGCATTTGTTTCACATATACGTATCAAATGATATTTATACTTCTGGATACTTCACTGATATGTATTTCTTAAGTATCATAGCTTTTTTTGAAAAATAAAAAAAGTTATGAAAATCTTACAAAGCCAGATACAAGACATGTATGCATCTATAATATAGAAGCCTAGGAGCATTGCTACTTATGAACCAGACAAGAAGGCTATCTTCTTTATTCATGATTCTCAGGGAGGGAATGAGATAGGTACTACTCCTGTTTGTAGACAATGGAGAGTGATTTATGATGCCAGTGATTAATAATTTCTACTTTGACTTTAGTATTGCTCAAGAAGAAACAGATTGCCCCACTAATGTCCAAAAAAGGTTTACAGCACAAGCAAATAATATTCCAATACAAGCAACACCCATACATCCCGAGATGCAAAGAAATGAAAACGAAAAGAAACAAACATACTATATGACAAATATGCTTGAAAGGCAAACTAAACGCGGAACATAAACTAGCACAATTTCCCAATTACGAAGGAGGGATCGAGAAAACACAGAAGAAAAAAAGTTGAATACCTCAGGTGAAAGGTCATATCCAATGGCGTTAGTTCCCACGCCCGACAAGAGCAACAGAGGATGATTCCTCGGAGGTGCCTATGAAACAAAATTGTGTCCTGAGAAATCTTAGCAAAATCACGGTGAGAGAATAGAAGAAAGCTGCGATGTGAATGAAGAAAGAAAACTAACGAGAGGCGAAGGGTTGTAGCGCCAGAGAGCGAGTTTCCAATCGGAATTGGAGAGGGAGACATAATGGAGTTCGTCGGCTGTACAAACAGAGGGCTTATCAGTGACGGCGGTGGAGAAAGCCCTGAGACGGAAGGGCGCGGTGGCGCGTGGGAGGGAGATGAAGGTGGAAAAGCCTCTGCAGAGAACTTCGTGCTTGTCAGATTGGAAGGACATAGACATAGACATGGACATGGACATGGCTTTCGACATGGTTAACAATTTGGATAACATAACGCTTCGCCTTCTATCTCATTACTTTTCTTTATACCTTTTATGGTTTTCGTATTTTCGTTTCTTTCTTTCTTTCTCTCTTTCTGTCTCTAACTTGGTTTTTTCTTTTCAAAGTAGTCAAAATGTTATGCCGCTTGACACTTTATCCAGAACATTGCACTTGCAATTTTGGAACAGGATCTCCTTCAATATTTAATAATTTTCGTGACTTTTTTTGCAATTAAAAAAATAATGATTCAAGGTTTTTACTTTCTTTGATTTA